GTCTCCCTTGAAAGAAAACATGTCAATGGTCAAAAAGGTATGGGAACACAATGATCAATCAGAGCAGCTTCACCCAAAATGTTTTACATGGAGGAAAATCGTGCCAAGCAATAACTTTATTTGGCACCTTGGCTATTTGACATGTGCTGGCAATGATTTTGTGCTCCGCAACTGTGGGTTAAATAAAGATACGCATTACTATCCGTGCTTTCGCAAGCCGAGCATACGCTCTGCGGCATAGACTCTGGTGAACTGAGAGATGATGAGCCGTATGGGATACGCCTTCGCCTTGGCTGTCCCTCACAATCCCACGAAAGTCTCATAGTTGAAGGAACTCAAGCCGTGGCATCACATGGAATCTGCAAAGCACATTACTCATTACGTAGACTAAATTCACCTTAGTAATCTGTTCGTACGCAGGGTCACATGCTGGCTACAACACTAAATGGGGCTTCATTGATTGCTTGCAAGACCAACTTTACACGTACGTATTTCCCAGATCATAATTTGTACATGTATATTTACCATCTCCATATATATAAAAGGTAAAGTTGTGAATATGTGTGTCTGTTCAAAATGTTTAGCGACATGCAACAAACTGGAAATTTGCCATGTGGGTACTTTCCAGACTGTACACCATGCAAAAATTATAAAAATACTCTTTTTTTTGGGGGGGGGGGGGGGAGCTCAATAATGCATAAAATGTTTGCACGGCAAGTGAGCTATGACGTCAAATCTGTCACGCTGTCACGTGACCCGCGCACGTGAAAGCTTAACGCATTGTAGTGTAGCGGGTAGCGCGCTGCGCTGCGAACCCGGCGATCCGAGTTCGATTCCCGCTCACGGCCACCACCGGTGACGATTATTTGAACCGGTCCTGGACCCTCCCCTTGGTCGACTCAGCCTCAAACGAGTAACTGGTCTGCTGTGTGAACATCGCCACTGGGGAGACAAAGGCGGCCGGGCGTGGTGAATCCAAGTCCCGGGCGAAGCCGGGTAGTAAAGCTAGTATAGAATAAAATGAAGTATTTTGAAACTGTATCCATTTTAGTATTCCGTCATGTTTTTTGTTAATATTAAAAAATATATTTCAATGAATGAGGTAACATTAATTAGTCAAGGGTATGGGTCTGATGCTACGTATGGTGCGAAAGAAGTTCAACATACACACATGTGTTGATGTAAATGGCAACACAAGCTAACATTACACGCGTCGAATGAAGGTGGCAGTATCATTTGATCTAATTCATTTGATAAAGATTGCACGTACATAATGGATACACATGACCTGTCCAGCTACGACACTTCATAAACCACAATAATGAAAAAGAATACATTCTCAATTATTATTTTATTTCTATTATTATATCTATTATTTTTTATTTTTACCTACGTGACTTTACCGGAAAAAAAACCTAAGAGTATGAATCCTTGCAGTCACGAAAGCTTCAAATCTAGAATTAATACATTCTCGAATCGTGACACTGAATCCAAAGCAATGGGGGCGAATCATTAATTACATCTTGGGGTTTTTTTTACAACTTTTATGCAGATAGAAAGCTAGCTAAATTTACAAAACAAAACATTTAGGAGGTTTCGCCATAGTTTCGCCAATCACAATTGGAATATACTCTTTCACTCATCAGACCGCATATATTGTAATTTTAAAATGTAAATGATCAATGTAACGGGCATTTACAACTATGATAACTGATTTATATAAGCTTAACATTGAAACGTTTATTACACACAGCGACCCAAATAATGTATTTACAATACTGTAATAACCTCATATCCATATGCTTCGACCTTGCAATTCTAAACAGCACGAGCAATACATTGATGGCAAAAATAAGCGCTTTTTATAACCATGACCACATAATCCGACGTACTTAATCGCATCAGTAGAAATCTGCATTAAGCTTTTGCTTTCAGTAATGTGCAGCATATTGAGATACAGCATGTGTGTGTTGGGCTCTTAACTGTGAACGTGAGCTGTACCTCTGTAAAATAGTAGTAGAGTTTATTGCTTACAGAAACAGCATAGCATTGTAAAACAGCATTTACAAATACTGCTAATTATTAAGTTCAAACCGAGTTCGACAGCTGTCCAAAAGTCTGCTAAAGCCTACGCCACAACAAAGTAGCTTAGTACCGTACGTCTAATATACTGGGGGTCACTCCACATGTCACGCAGTATTTTTAGTCGCAATCTGCATTTAATCCAGTACAGTACGGTATTTAAAAAGAAGCCCGATAAACTATGGCCACTCACAGCTTCCACGTACAGAAGGCAACACACTCCACCTGGTATTCCCAGGTTTCAGGTGATGTGTGAAGGTGCTTGACAAGTTGTAAGGTGGAGGCAGAGTTTGAAGTTCTGCTCGTGCTGAACTCGCGGCCTGATGTCCCATAGGGGATGGAGAGGATTAAGTAACTAACTAGTACTGAACTGACATCTGCAGCACGATGTAGCTTTGCGTGGTTGTACCGCAAAGCTCTCCGATGCGTTGTTCGGCACGATGTACAGCGAGCTTCTTCTGGAACTGAAACGTTGGACATCAGACCGAACAACACGTGGTACAACCCAAAAACACATCAGGGATTTCCCACTGTAGCAGATATCTCGGGAATGGTTTCGAGAAATGTTATTCATGGATGTATAAGCCCTTTATCAATCCATAGCTAGATGAAGGCCTCATCACACTGTCTCACTCATGGGGGATTTGTTTGGCCATAATTCACCAGGTTGTTCACAGTGGGTTGGTGAAGGGGGTCGGGTTCAAAACCACTTTGCCATACAGGTCACCAGGTTGATAGCGCGATGTACTCACCGCCTGCGCCATCGCTCCTCGTCCTTAACTTAATAGCAGATGAGGGCCTGTTGAGAATAAATATCACTTTTTCAAGGGTGATCTGGGTACTCGGCAATTCCTTGTCAAGAGAGACCTTGGTCATGAAGACAATGTAAAAAGGTCAAAACCAAATGTAATGCGTGGTCGGATTTCATTGCAGCGGTTTGGTGGATAACGTTAAGTTGACAAGTTAGTTAATCTTTGATATTTTACTTGATAATTTAGTTAATAAGCATCGCAAGAGTCACATATAATTCGCCTGTTTAATAATAAATGCACAAGCATACTTTAATTGCCTTTCTGTTCACATTCAATGGATTAAATGTATTAATATTTCTACATATGTAAAACAATAGTATACACCCCAGGGAACGAATGTGTTTTTTTTAGGTAAGGAGGATGTTCTAGACGTCACACTTGAAGAAGTCACCAATGCCCTTTGCAGCACAAACAAGGAAAACCCCATAAGCCAGATGAAATAACCAAAGACATCATTAAAGAAGATGGTATCATCAGCTGTTGGATCAGAATGAACTGTTCCAGGTTTCAAGTTTTCTGTGCATAACTCTGAGAAATGGATAAGCAGTCGAACATATGTACTGTACAATTGAAATCCTCAGTTTTGCTATTGTATTTAATCCACCCAAACAAGCACTAAATATAGACGTGAGCTCTCAATATCTTGTCAACCGCATTTCGAGCTTTTACGGTGACATCATAGCACGATACACGACCACAGATGGTAAACATAAAGTCGATATTTATCCTGAAGTGCAATTGAATTGCACTGAATTATTGTATCTCCACAAATATGTATGCAGTTGTATCATTGCATAACAAAATAATAAAATGTATGGGATTAAATATTGAAATATAAGTACTGTATTGATGCATTTTCTTGCCTTCGTTTGATAGTTTAAAATATATATAATAACGCTTTGAAACAGTTTTGACAGTTGTGCCTTTAAATTGTGGTAGCTTTTTTAAATTCCCATTGTGCATCTTGTCCACGCGCTTCTGCTACAACACAATCAACATAAATTTCGATTTAAAGCTTTCGTGACTGCAGGGATTCATCTTCTTGGTTCTTTCGGTAAAGTCACGTAAAAGGGAAATAATAAAATAATAAAAATTAAACATAATAAAATACAATTCACACGACGACACAGCAGGACGGCAGCTTGAGTTGTGGCCGAAACGTCGTGAGAATTGTATCATGTTTTATTTTAATTATTTTATTATTTCCCTCCTACGTGACTTTACCGAAAGAACCAAGAAGAACAATCAAAATAGGCTGTCATGCAAAGGACACCCATGCAGAGGTGCAAACAGATTAGGGCCCTCAAGTGGTTGCTCCAGGTCTGGCACTAAAATAATAATAAAAATCTTAATTTTGCAGCTTTCGTGACTGCAGGAATTATTCTTTGGTTCTTTCGGTTAAGTCACGTCTAAAGATAAAATAATTAATTAACTAATAGCATATTACGACGTTTCGATTGCAACACAAGCAATCATCAGGCATAAAGAAATAGCAACAAAAATCTAACTAAAAAACTATAGACAGTCTGTCTGCTTGTATGTCTGTCTATAGTTTTCTAGTTAGATTTTTGTTGCTATTTCTTTTGTGCCTGATGATGATTGCTTGTGTTGCAATCGAAACGTCGTAATATGCTATTACTTAATTTATTATTTTATCTTTAGACGTGACTTAACCGAAAGAACCAAAGAATAATAAAAATCCCGGTTACTCAGCAACCGGGATTTTGCGTAGCGGCCAGCTACAAACAGCGCTATTGAAGTTGCAATGAGAGTTTGCAGGTTTGCATGAACACAGGATGTATGAGACAACGCAGCCTCAACTTGGATGAAGGAAATAAACTCCACGAGAACGTGTTAGGAGCCGTATAAGTTATCGTAGGCAAACGCTTGTTTGATTATACTGCACTCCGATTACGGAGCGAGTGCACGGTTGCGCGATGACGTCACCGCGCACAGTTGCGCGATGACGTCACCGCGCACAGTTGCGCGATGACGTCACCGCGCACAGTTGCGCGATGACGTCACCGCGCACAGTTGCGCGATGACGTCACCGCGCACAGTTGCGCGATGACGTCACCCATCGCTTCCACGCTCATGTTCGACGGCTGTCGTCGACACAATCTGCCATTTTAAATGTTGACCATTTAAGTTTTATTAACTTTTTTTTCTCTCTTTCTCTCCACTTACATTCACGGTAAATATATGTTAGCCTTGCTGGGGTAGCATATGTCATTGCTCTGCTCTGTTGACTTGTATTGTTACTCCGTGCGGTCTTAAATGTAGCTTGTTTCATCTCCTTGCAGGAAAGTTATAGATTCTGTGTTTCTAAGGCCTTTGGTTGGTGTTAGCGTGTAATTAAATGTATCAGTTTCCCTCTGAAATGTCAAATCATAGTCTCTAAACTATCGGCGTAAAAGCTATTTGATATTAATTTGGCTTTGTATAAAATCTGGCAGGTAGATAATTTTCTTTTTTATTGTTTACGTATGTGATGTTGAGATTTGTGTACAATGAATTTTAGGTGTATCTTTTAATTTTATTGTTTGTTGCGGTTGAACCCAAATCAAGAGCCGAATGGCTCACAGGGTGAATCCCAATAAGTTAAACTGAAACTTTGTAGGTCCAGCTCATGGTTGATTGGCCTCAAAATCTTCCGTTCTCCTATGCGTTCTTTGTAAAAATGTACGTGAAAGGAAATGAATGGGTCTGAAATTATTCAAATCGGCGTGGCTTTTGTTTTCAATCAGTGCCCTCTTCTCGAATAGAATAATTATCGAGTCGATGGCAATCGATCGATGAAAAACTGAGTTGACATGAACGGCTTGGCAAGGCCTTCATCCAGCTGTGGATCATGGCCTATAACAAACTACAGCAGCCAGCTAATCTGGATTATTTATGTAACGTATTTACAAGTTTGTCATAGGAGTAAACTACCTTGTTTTCAGGTTTGGACGTCTTAGGAAGAAAGCGGTGGTTTTATTTAGGTGATTTTGAAAAGTGTTTTGGTTTGGTCATGTTTGTTGTAGTATGGAGTTAGACTGATGGACTTAATCTAAGTTGTCCTGTGGTTGTTGTTGTTTGACTTGCATCCCACTGGGATTTGTGCACATAGTGTTGGTGTACGGTGCTTTTTCTGCAATATTTTGCTGTCTTTTCTTGGATTTTCTGTTTGCACTTAGTCATATAGTCACTTTAACATGTTTTCTTGTTCATGTTTTTGTTTATTGCGGTGGCACCCGATTCAAGAGCCGAATGGCTCACAGGGCTACATCTAATAAATTAACTTGAAACTAATCACCGGCATAGGAATGTGGAATTAACGTCGCTGATTCTGGACGCTCAAAAGGCGATATTTAGAAAGACATTCTGCGATGTCAAACAATGGTCTGTAAGGAATCCCCTGTTAACGCCTTCGGGGCCGTCCATAAATGACGTCACGCACCTAAGGGGGGGGGGGGGTCAGACATTTGTGACGAGGGGGGGGGGGTTTGAGAAATGTGACGTCACACCAAAATGCGCAACTTTAAATAAATATAGACAACACGTTCTACTTCATCTTCTTGGTTCTTTCGGTAAAGTCACGTAGAAGGGAAGTAATAAAATAATAAAAATAAAACATAATAAAACAATTCTCACGACGTTTCGGCCACAACGCAAGCAGCCGTCCTCAGGTGAAAACCAGGTCCGTCGAGGCGACAGAGTCTGAATGAAACAGCACACGAGCTTGGAGCATATATATAAAATATATATAATATATATATAAAATATATATATTATATACATGCTCCAAGCTCGTGTGCTGTTTCATTCAGACTCTGTCGCCTCGACGGACCTGGTTTTCACCTGAGGACGGCTGCTTGCGTTGATGCCGAAACGTCGTGAGAATTGTTTTATTATGTTTTATTTTTATTATTTTATTACTTCCCTTCTACGTGACTTTACCGAAAGAACCAAGAAGATGAATCCCTGCAGTCACGAAAGCTTTAAAACGTTCTACTTCATTAAATAGACTTTTTAATAAATGTTTTCTCCTACAACAGAGTGCTGCGCCACGTTAAATACGCATTGCAATGACAATAGTTTAAAGCGATTTGAAGCATGTTTTATTTGGGGGGGGGGGGGGTGTCTGACTTTTTGTGACGCCGTGTGACGAAGGGGGGGGGGTCAAGAATCGTCCAAAATCGCGTGACGTCATTTATGGACGGCCCCTTCCCAACTACTTTAATGAGGTCGCTCCGTCTGTACGTGTGTAATGACGCCAACGCAGCAACCAGTGGCCCACGGCTTCTTTCTTGGGTCTTGAAGCTCGTTCTCTGCCCACCAAACGTCTCCTGGTGCTCTCCAATTTTTATTTTATATTATTACTCGCTTTTATTTAACTCACTCTGTTGTATCCTCAAAAAAGAAATATTGTAACTAAATTTTTACACACTTCCCAATATGCTATCAACTGCAAACTTCGTATAGCTATGTCATACTGATGGCAATACTATATTTTATCATAAAAATGAAAAAAATATTTTTAAACAATCTTTTTAACGACTCTAATTGTCCACGCTCAACTCACGTTGCCTGTAAATCACCACGGCCCCTTACGTCACGGCAAGCCTCGGGGAGCCACGCCCAGGGGCAGGGGATGTGGAAGGAGGGGAGGGGCGATGGGGGAAAGGGGCAGGGGAAGGGGCAGCTCGGACAGTACATTTCATTAAAGCGTGTTTAAACATTTTTTTTTATATATATTAGGTACCAATGGTGTAAATGCTTACCCCGAGCTCTCATACTCTGATGGTGCATTGTCTTTGAGTTGTGCGCCTTTTGGCGTCATCTGGTCAAACCCATGTGAGACTAGGCTCTAAGGAAAGCTGTCTCGGGTGTGGACCAATCAACTTAAAGGACAGTGCATACATTATCAGAGTTATGTTTTTTGTTTGCATTATGACTGCAGGTATTGTGGTCTATGCAAACATGACTCCTCGTAAAAAAAGGTGTCAGTTTTGTTTCCAGATAAAAGGGTAAAAAACCAATTATTATATTATTATTACACGCTTTTATTCAACTCACTGTCTGTTGTATCCTCAACTCTGTTGTCGTATCCTCAAATATTGTAACTCAATTTTAATCCACTTCCCAATGTGTCGACTGCAAACTTGGTATGCTTATGTCATACTGATGACAATACTATATTCTGTCATTAAAAAAAAAATTAGCAATCTTTTTTACATGTTATGTTTCGGCTTGGATCTAATTGTCCACGCTCGACTCACGGCTGTAAATCACCACGGTCCCTTACGTTATGGCAAGCTTCGGGGCCACTTCCTGGAGTCGTGGAGTTCTGCCATTACTCGTACGGTACATTTCATTAAAGCTTGTTTTTTTTAAAGTATTTTTTTATATTACTTATATACCTTTTTCTCAGTTCGAATCTCTCCTCCAATCTCTTTGAGCCTCGCCTCCCGACCAAATCACTGTGGGGGCCTGTCTACTTCACGACAGTCTGTTTGACTGTGACGTTTGCTTCGGGATAAGTGGTCTGGAATTCGGCAATTACGTATGGATGTATGTTGAACTTCTTTCGCACCCTACGTAGCCAACATTGCGAATCTGAGGTCTGTAGTGCATACCTGTCAACCCCTTATCAGTGCCTACCTTATACAGACCAATTCAGACCTTATTGGTCACCCCGTGCCCTTATAAATCTCAAGGTTCATCCTACAACGTCCCATCACAAGGGAGAAACACAAATAGACAAAAAAATGTGCCCGTATTGAAACGGCTGTACACTGTATGGACCTAAAAACTCAATTTCCCTGTACAAGATTATGGAGGCTCAGAAGGTAACTTTATCACTCATAAAAAAACTTAGAAAGCCAAACATGTTAGAAAGCATTACGGAATCCCATGCATTTTCATGATTTTTCTTTTTTGTTTTATGCTTAACCTGGCTTAACAGACATGGAGAAAAAGTCAACTTTGGGCCTGGCCGCCAAGAAAATGATTCCCATCCCGAAAAAAAAGATGGCTTCAAAAGGTAGTTGTGATGTTTGACTTCGGTCATGTTTTCAATGTGTTACCATGTTGCTTATTTTTTTAATATAGATTATTTCAAGTCGATTCCAGTTTAAAGTTACTGACGTCGTTTAATTGTATTGCAGAGCCACATTTGGAAGAATGCAGGATTGGTGGGAGAGAGGAAATAGAAATAAAGGCGTATTTATCTCAATGTTTGCTGGACCCCAACGACATCTTTAAAATGTGGGATTTCACCAAAATATGTCTGATTTACAACCAATCATTGCTCCAGAGCTTCGGTGAAAAAAGGTGGGTGTACTGTAGAGTCATTTCAATGGTATATTAAAAAAAAAATCTAAATTCGTGGTCACTTACACAATGTGTAAAGTGATGCAAGGTTTGTGAACTAGAGGTTAGGCGAGGGTTAGTGGTGCCAAAAAGGTTGTCTTTTTCGTTTTGAATGTGCTCACATGGCAAATCAGATAAAAGCACTGGTTGTTTAAAGGTTCATGCAGCATTGTAAAGTTACGTCAAGCTTTTGCTGTTCTGAATCAGTTAAATAAATATGTTTTACTCTTTGGTTCTTTCGGTAAAGTCACGTAGAAAATAAAGTCAAATTATAATAGAATGCGACGTTTCGATTGCAACACAAGCAACCATCATCAAAGAATGAGAAGTGCCTGGTCAGCCAGGTGGGGTGTTGGCTGTTGTGTTGTCCGGCTTTCTGTGTTGTGTTGCATTCTGTTTCCAAGTTTACTATGTTTTTTCTCATTCATTCTTACCTGATGACGGTTGCTTGTGGTGCAATCGAAACGTCGTATTCTATTATTATTTGACATTATTTTCTACGTGACTTTACCGAAAGAACCAAAGAGTAATTCCTGCAGTCACGAAAGCTTCGAATCTAGTTTAAATATGTTTTGGCCAATTAAAATTAGTTCCACATTTTGGGCAGTATAGAGTGGTTGGCCATGGTTAAACTGGCCCCGCCATGAGAATGTGGAATTTCACCACTGGTTTTTATCCATCAAGTGAGATAAATGCCCTACCCCATTGCTCGTCCCAGTGACACTTTGACTTAATTTTTACATTTAAAACATATTTTTACCAATCTTATCCTGATTGTGTTATTAGCATCATGTCATCAAAGAAAGTATCCATTTTTATCTATTGTGCAGCAGTGGATCTCTTCGTGTTAGAGATCAGCCCACAGACGTGGATATCACAGATATCTCGCTTAAATATCTCTAAGTGACCTTTTGTTTCACAAAGTAGGGGGCAACACACTCTCCCACCCACTCTGCAACCGAGAATAATGTTTATCACATGTCAGTCAAACTAGTACTTTTTTAAAATAATTGTTAGAGCTTGAAAGTGCAGCAATAAATGTAACTCGCTTTTTGTGTAAAAAGTGATTGGTGAACAGGTTGAGACCATCAACTCATTACACTGGAGAACCTGGTTTCACAGGCAGCTGCCTGGATTGAAGCCGAGGATCTCAGTGGTGCCAGTTCAGCGCTCTGACCTCTGAGCCCTGTGGCCACCTTTGTCTTCTTTAGGCACTTTTATGTGCCAATTTTCATTTTGTAAAACATGAGTGTGAATTGGGCTAAATAAATGTCTGGAACAAAACTGTTTGATGTTACAGTCATTAAACTGTAATGAATGTTGACCAATGTATGTGTGTTTAACTTCTTTCACACTGTACATAGGTGCGGCGGAAGGATAAAAATGTAAACGCAAAGCAGTTATAAATAAATTAGTTTAAAATTTTGATTTGAAAGTGCATAGCTCGAGTGGCATAATATTGGAAAGAAGAGCGTTCCAGACTACCATAGAAACGCATCTGAAAGCACGAGATGCAGTGACCGTCTTTGTTTGATGGTTAGCCAAAAGCCGCTGCGATGATGACTGGAGTTTCTTGATGGTTTATGCTCCATGACGACATTAGCAAAGTATAGTTCATTTGTGGCAAGCACTTTTTGTGTAATCAGTACGACCTGATAATGAATTAGTTCAGTAACCGGAAGCCAATGCAGCTTATCGAGCACTGGACGGCCATGGTCGGATATTTCAGTACGCGTCACGTGCCAAAGAATTTAGTACACGCTGCAGCTTGCTAATGTTTTTGCCAGATGTCTCGTAGAGTAGTAAGTTGCAATAATCGAGCCTTGTCGATACTATGCTACACGCCACTGTGTTTGCTATGTCTTGACTCAATAGTGGCCGAATGTATCGTAGAGTCCTGATATGAAATTGCAGGACCTCAATATTTTTCACGTGGTGATCAAACGACATTCTGGTCGAGTATGGTGCCGAGGCTCTTTGGATGAGTAACCAATGTTGTTCTCTCCTTATTCATCCAGGCGTGAGATGAAATCTTTGGGAAGGCGTGGACAAGAACTCGAAGTGGGGTTTGGCTTTTTGGCTGTTAAACACGCCACCGTGGAGTCTATTTACCGGCAGGGCCTGAGCGTCAATCATTGTGACATTAAAGCTCTTGGAGACCCCTCCCAAGGAGTCTACCTCACCCGTCATATAGATATTTGTCTCAAAGTTTGCATGCAGCAAGGCTTGCTCAGAAGCACCATAGTCCTTTTCAAGGTATTGTTCTGTTAAATATCCCACAATGTAAAGAAAGGAGTCCATGAACCTTTTCCTTATATTCTTACTGTGGAAAGGGTTGTGGCTCAGTGTGTTAAGGGCAGTTTGCCTTCGGTAAAGCTAATTTAATCTTCTCAAACTGGTAGTGTTCACTGCAAAACAGCAATAGAAGAATTTGTTTCATAATCGACTTGTGAACTATAGTTTTCACTCATGCAGAGACCTTGATCTTAAACTCTAGATTAAATTTCCTAAATTCCTAAACTAATAGCCACCTCGATTTAAAGCTTTCGTGACTGCAGGGATTCATCTTCTTGGTTCTTTCGGTAAAGTCACGTAAAAGGGAAGTAATAAAATAATAAAAATAAAACATAATAAAATAATTCTCACGACGTTTCGGCCACAACGCAAGCAGCCGTCCTCAGGTGAAGAATGAAACACCACCAAGCTTGGAGCGTATATTTAAGCTGGGTTGGAGGGGGGGAGGTGGGAAGAAGAGCGCCTAGACAAAATAATTTGCATATCAAGAGGAATTTAGCATATGGAAAATGCGTAGGAGGTGGGCGGGCGGGGGTTCAAATTAATATTATGCCCGTGCATTATGCAGGATTAGCAGCATCAAAGGGAGGGGGAAGGGGGGTAGCATTAACAAAGGAAAGGAATGTTAATAGTATGTAGCTGCAGTTGCTAAACAACCACGTTAAAAACTAAAGTATAAACTACATAAACAACTAAAGTATAAACTACATAGCATCATCAGTATACTTACTATACTCTACAATAAGCTGAGTTACTAACAGTAAGTAATACATTACAATTCTACGTCGTAAAAATTATGTAATATGCTTCCATCTAAACGTTGTTCTCTTACATCACACGAGTCTACACCGTACTATATACTGCCATAGATAAACCCAACATTAAATTATATACTGTATATAATGAGTCGTGGGGGGAAACATTTATATGCTTAATACAATGTACAAAGTAATATTTAGTATCGTAATTGTATAGTAAACATAGCAGTGTGATACACATTAGGGTGGGTAGAATAATACATAGTGTTATATTAAAATGTATAAGGTGGTTTATAGCAATACAGTATATCATTTAATGTTGGGTTTGTCTATGGCAGTATATAGTACGGTGTAGACTCGTGTGATGTAAGAGAACAAAGTTTGGATGGAAGCATATTATATAATTTTTTCGACGTAGAATTGTAATGCATTACTTACTGTTAGTAACTCGGCTTATTGTAGAGTATAGTAAGTATACTGATGATGCTATGTAGTTTATACTTTAGTTGTTTATGTAGTTTATACTTTAGTTTTTTACGTGGTTTAGCAACTGCAGCTACATACTATTAACATTCCTTTCCTTTGTTAATGCTACCCCCCTTCCCCCTCCCTTTGATGCTGCTAATCCTGCATAATGCACGGGCATAATATTAATTTGAAACCCCCCCGCCCACCTCCTACGCAGTTTCCATATGCTAAATTCCTCTTGATATGCAAATAATTTTGTCTAGGCGCTCTTCTTCCCACCTCCCCCCCTCCAACCCAGCTAAAATATACGCTCCAAGCTTGGTGGTGTTTCATTCTTCACCTGAGGACGGCTGCTTGCGTTGTGGCCGAAACGTCGTGAGAATTATTTTATTATGTTTTATTTGTATTATTTTATTACTTCCCTTCTACGTGACTTTACCAAAAGAACCAAGACGATAATAGCCACCTGTGCTTGTAGACGCTATATAATATGCCAGACTTTTTACGTGTTTGCACTGCATATTACATACACCGTTAATGTTTCTGTCAAGTCGTGGACATTTTCTATTCTTGCAGCCTTTGCCCAAAATTCTTAAACGTAATTTAGAAAAATAAGTATTGGGGTCATGCTTTGTTAATGACAATAAGCAGTAATAACCAGTGTTAATAACATCTGTACATCTGAAATATATCTGTATTTTTCTCTTTGGAAGGTGCTGTATGGGAAAGTAAAATCGTTGATACCTCGGACTCAACATGACAAGCCACTTGAGCCGTCTTGCAACTATGATTGTCACATACCACAGAAGAAGCCCAAGCTCAATGAACCACTAAATCTGCAGGTCTGCTCATTGGTAAATATTCCACATTTAAGCATACAGTTTACCGCTGGGCTATCCAATTATTTAAGTGGTAGATTACACTACCGACTATCAATTGGATTACATTATTTGATTAATTGGATAACACAAAAATAGTTGGGGAAAAAACCGTTTCACCTATTTTCCCTCGTGGAAGGTGATGGTCGGGCTTGGCGATGCTGTTGGCATCATCAGCCACGTCAGACAGGGAATGCCTTGTAGGGGGTTTCCTGCCTTTGGGAGGTAGGATCTGGGGATGGCCGCCATTTAAAAATGGGCCCAATTAATCGACCACGGCAAAAGTAGTCGATTACAAGCTTTCATCACGTAAACGACTGAAGAATTTTGCTTTTAATGTTCTTTCCAATCCTTGTATATTTTTACACCTATTTCGGGTGTGTTCCCGCTTACATTCGTTGAACTGTTTTTAAGAGGTTGCCATGTGCTGCCAATTATTTAAAGTGTATGCTCTGAGACGCGACTGACTGGAAGTTTTACACACATCAAATTTGTTTTATTCATTACAATTTTAACTTTAATCAACGCATCGAAGAAATCTACCTCACATCTCGTACCTGTCTAACTAATCTGGATATAATTGCTATTCAGCCAGCCGTAGGCTGCTATGTAGGTTTTCATGGTTGCGTTGTATAGTTCTCCGATATAAGGGCTTATTGCTCTGGCAGCTTCTCCAATCATTCCATTATTTCAAAAGACAGATTTTATCCTGAGTGATGTATCAAAGAGGCATTCCTTAGATTCTATGACACATACACTTATAACGGGAATTGTTAATGAAACTTCAGGAAGGAGATGCTCCATCATGCCGAACAACACGCGCTACAACCCGAAAACACATTGAGGAACTAAGACATTTTAATCTCACTGAAAAATCCCCAGCCTTCTGTTCCCTGGCATTTTGTCAAAGCGTTTAACATGCTGAACGTTCGGAGAGGGGGCATGCAAGGTTGAATGTGAGAATTATATGATGCGTTACACAGGTTCTATTTTTTTCATCAGGTGTATCTATATGAGTATGACAGCATCATGCTGCCAGTGAAAAGGCCTCGTCAGTGCCTGCCCTATGCGGTGATAAACATGCACCGGACATTTACCTCTGCAAGAATTACTCCGCATGCTTCCCTCACTTCTTCATGGAGCCTGCCTACAGGTAGTAGCGGTTTATTTTAGGAGCGTTAACATTAACATAATATAATCATCTTTGGCCCTTTATCTAAAGCTGAATTAAAGCCCCCTTAGACCGTGTTGGTCATGGGGGTTGTTTGAATATACAGTACTTCGCCGTGATGGTCATTGTGGGTTGGTGACCAGTCCAGATACCACTCGCCACTGGTGTTATCCATTGCTGGGAATCGCAGGGCGCTAACTAGTGCCACCGCTGCACCCAGGATAATGGTAATAACGTCCTTTATTTTTATGTTTACTACCATGTACACTACATGTATGCATTGGCCTTTACTGCTACACTCCGGGGTAGGAATTTGTAATGTCAAAAACACGCAATTCTAGCATTTTCCAACAGAGGGAACTTTTTATGAGGTTTGATAAGCTGGATTGTGCGGTGTAACAAAACAGAGTTTTGATGTTCGCAATACTTTTTACTCCAAGAGTAACGACAGTAAACAGTAATGTTATGTTATGATCACACTATATATTTATACTGTAATTTGGTTAGATTTTATTTACGTATTACCTTTGAAATAGTATGCATCAATATGAATGCAAATGTGTGCTAATTTTTTCCTTCACCCTCCTGCAGAAGATTTGTGGTTCATATTTAAAATAATTTACAGTGCATTTTCTTACTTTAGTTTACTTGTGAACGCGCTTTATTGGTAAGGTTTTTATTCATTTTGTTTCTTTCAGTGCTGGATCATACCAATGGTTTAACTGTTGCAACACGTATTGGAAAGAGTATGTATGCCACAGTGGTGTACAGTGCTGCGAGAGGAAAGGGAGAGCCGCGAGCCCAGAATGGAGAGGGTATCGACGTGTCAAGAGACCCACGGCAGCAGCAGAGAGTAGCTGTGTGTCAGATCTCTGTGGACACGGAGAGTCCTTATCAGGCAGAAACAAATCCCAAGCGCCGTTGTCTCAACACGCAAATTCAGGGTGCGTTGAATTCCGCACAATCGGCGGTTACAGATTTGTTACAGACGTCGTCGTCTGCACGAGCCACATTCTCCAAAATGTCGGACCATCAAGCAAGCGAACCAGGTTTCAGTCGGAATGACAACACTTTGGACGAGAACGATGCAAGTGGTGAAATTATTGTGATGAGGCCGTTGAACAAATACGGCAGCTTTGAAATTCCTCAGTCTGAGACATCCCTTAGAGAGGATCTGCAGATGCTCAAGGAGCCTGCAAGTGCAAATAACATGAATGTGAAACACAGCCAACAAAGTGCAACCTCACAGTTTAATAACCAGTCAAGAGGTGGATCAAACTACGTGGATTGTTGTGCGGATTACCTGAACGTTCATGATGACAGCTCTGGATTGAGCGATATATCATTAAATAATAACTCGCTTTCCCAACACACAGAGTCACCTTTGTCACAGCCATATTCACCTCCAGAGCTAGATTTAAGGGACCAAGTCCCTTCAATTGAACATGACTCCTGGGAAGATTTAGCACCTTCCGATAATGACCAATGCACATCACTAAATGTGCATTATCCCAATACTGTAGAAAACATCTGCAAATCTGATATTCAGTTAGGATTTGGCCCAAAGAAAGAGTACGTATTTAATTTGTCAAATGTGTTGCTTAATGCCAATGCAACAGTCAGACCACTGGAACTCAATCAGATGATGGATTCATGTGAGAAGCTTCTGTCACTTTTTGTGGGAGACCTTCAGGAGAGTCTGGGTGAACCTCTCAGGAATGTTTTCATGTCAGCTCCATTGTTGCAAAGGTTTGGTCTGAGAGAGACTTGTCCCTCAGTTCTCCTAGAAGGTTCTGCATTGGAGACATACGTGGAGCTGCAGATGCTCTTAGAGACAACTCATTACATACAGAATCGATTAAACTTCCTGAAGGGTCTGCCGAGATTCCGCACCTTGTTGTGGTACGAAACATCACTTGGGATGGAGTCACTTGAGTGCCATTTTGCCGGAACCTTGATCAACTGCCACGAACTTTCCAAGTTAAAAAAAGAGGTAGGTTTGAAGCATTTTTTTCCTTTTTACTTGGATAATGTATGTTGAATATTTTATTTCCATCAAGCAAACTCTGCACTGGAAGTTGTTGGTTATTGCCAGCAAATTCAAACATTTTAAACAAATGCTGCTGAATTTAAATGTTATTGCCAAAAGCAATCCATAATGTTAGACCGTGGTGGGCAGCAGAGGGCAGTACCGTACTTCTCCCATATTTATACCATCACAAACCCGTGCTGACGAGCACAGTGAAGTATGTTTTTTTGTTGAACACCTTTCACACCGTACGTAGCCAACCGTGCCAATCGGAAGTATGGTCCTATAACACCCGCGATCCGCCATGCCATGCTGAGTGTCATTAACAACAAAGGGCTATAGAGGTACACATACCTATGTCCTCAATAGGGACACTTTTATGGAAATGCCCTCTTCCTGCAAAGGCATGGTCATTGATATGCAAGGCAATGTTATTGCTCTCCTGCAGACCCACGCGGCCCGCGCGAGGTTGAGCAGGTGTACGGCGAACCATTATGTGCTGCTGAAGTGCAATGCGGAGAGCTTGGAGTACGAACACTTGGAGACGCGGAGACTAAAGTTCTCCATCCTGCCGCATCCGCCACAGTCGGGGATGGTGAACCTGGGAAACTCGGTTGAGGAGCTGGAGGCCCAACGCAAGTGCACTCAGCACTTGCTCGGGAAGCTGTTTTATGCTCCCGCCACGGACCGAAGCGTCGAAAAGATTGAACATCTCAATATAATTTTAAGCACCATCAAACGAAAGCAGCAGTGGCTCAAGAGCAACCAATACACGGCTCTTGACCCTAAGCAGGTATGATCAGATTATTTCGATTATTTTGCTGTTATAAATTTCCACATGATAAGCCACTTTGTTGAGCTATCATTTGTGGCCAGGTCGCTTCTGAATAAAAGCTCATAGATCAGTGGGCTTTACCTGGTAAGAGAAAAAAAAAAGTTTTTTTTATTTGTATATATTTTTTAAAGTGATTTTATATTGTAGTGTTCTGATCTGCCCCTACTGGACATCTGTGAAAAAGAGCTTTATAGCTCATCGGATTCCTCCAGTATAAATAAATAATATGATTATGATTCTGATGTGCTCAATAATGTTTTGCCCACATCTTCAAAAAGCTGTCCCCCTATGGGCCTTCATGAATTACATAAGTTCAGTTTGAAAATAAATGGGTCACCTTAAAGTTTTGTTGCATTTTTTTTTGCTAGATCAGCAAGTTTGGTATGGAACATCTTGAGTGGAATGCAGCCAAGATGCTTGTCTGTCAAGAGCTGAAGGCCAAAGAGCCATTTGACAAGAAGGACTCTCAAGAGATATTCTCTGAAGTCAAAGAAAGGCTGAGGAAGATGACGGCAAATGATGTGGTGCCAGATGTACGAGCTGCAGTTGAAGACGCGAAGGACTGGCATAAGTTTGTACAGAGCTTTTCCTTCCCACGGACAATTTCCATATCTATCCAAACGCCCATATTAGACAACGGAAGTGGACATTGCAGTGTGGTGGCTCTACCAGGCAGTGAGGGAAACACAGCCCCTAAGTCACTACCTTCAGCTGAGCCTCATGGGAGTGGCAGCGGAAACAACATGGAACAGGTGGCCGCAGCAGCGTTGACGTCCCGTCAGCAGATGCAAAGTACCAAGCACTCGAATGGATCAAGCAGGCACAGGGAGGAGTACAATGCGAATGAGTATCCAGAAGAATTACCCACCAAGAAAACTAGATTTAGCTTTGATAGTGAAATTCATGGAGTGGGTCTACATGCAGGCAGCAGTGATGTTGCTTTGTTGGAGGAACAGCCTTGTGTTAAGACAAGGAATGTGGAAAATGCTACTGTGGAGACTCACGCTCAGATACAAGTTTTTGAATGTCCAACACTTGTAAGTGTTTGGTTATGTATTTCAGCATTTGTCAAATGAATTTGAACTCTTCATTGGCATACTGAACAAGAACACGTTTGTAACTCTTGTCAACATTTTTTGGCAGGTTTTACAAACTGATGATGCTAACCTACAGATGTAAGTATTCCTTCAACATCCAGTTCATTACGAATTGCAGGCACCATTAAATATAATGGTTCAATAAAGTAAAAATGTCTCTCAGGTCAAATGAGCAATCAGGTGATGGTCATTGACATCAGTGGTCTTGAGGCAGTGGTGGAAATTTTACATTCCTAAGGTGGAGGCCATCATCTTCTTAGGAAAATGACTTACCTTTTCAAAAGAGTTACTAATTTTAGGTACCCAAAGGTATGATGATGGGCTAAATTGACACCTCACTTGAGCTCACAAACTTGTGATTTAGTTGAATACTCTATAATAGTAATTTACAGCACTATGTCAATCTACTGCAGGTCACGGGGGTAGTTTGACCAAACTTCACCACGTCGGCCAGTGCAGTTGGTCAAGGGGGGCAATCCCAGAACCATTTAAAATATTCTCAACTGGTGTTAGCCGTGGCCGAGAATATAACTTAGGTCGCTGCGTTCACAACACAGTGCCCTAACCGCCGTACAACTGCTCCATCTGTGTAGTGAGCGAATTCCGAGACACGTCGTATAGAAGGCTTCTTATTTATTCTCACACTTTAAGCACAACACTGGGCGATACATCTATGCAACGTTCTACGTAGCTACACATAGCCGACGCTTCTACACAACCCCATCGTCGGCGTCCAACTACACAGCTGTCTGACTAGCGCAGCGACGGCGACGATGAGAGCCTTGCAGAAGATCGGCCACGTGGCTGGACGACGAAGAGAGATGACGGCGAGCGGCGAAGCAGCCAGGACCCGCAACAGCACCGAACCTCTGGTATAAGGGGGACCGAACCTTTGGTTATACGCCCCAGCGCGGCCAAGCCCCGCCTCTGGCCACGCCCCCTTCCAGAACCTGCAAACAGGCTCCCGGAGCCTCCCGACTGACCCCGCCTTTCACCTTTACCCCAGATATGCCCCCCTCATAATTAGGCATTACGTAATATACCCATAACCGCGATTACCCTTCAGGTCGACAGGTGGCACCCTGTCATTATGCGTGTACTCCAACTACATTGCAGTATAGAAAACCAGAGGTATGGTTAGACATCAGGTATGGCAAGGAGCACATGTACAAGATGCGCACTCGTGACAGTAACAGTTTATCACAAGTAGGACATCGTAACAGCATTCACTCGCTGCCTGTTCAACACAAGATTACAGTGCTGCTAGACAAGATCGATGATCAATCCACGACACTGCGGGAGTGTTTAATTCCCCAAAACACCCGCAGATGATGTGCAAAATTGTTGTGCCGAGTGCAAAACCATCAATTGTCAATACTTAATAGGCCCAGCCTGAAATCTTGGCCAGACTTCAGTGGATTAATTCTCACTGCCACATAGCATGTGATAGAGGCATGTACTAATGGAAATATGAAATTGTTGATGACTTTTGGTCCAGACTGAGACAACAGGAGGGTGAGCAGGATGAAAAATATGAAGATAAGATGCCAGGAAATGGCGTACACACAACAGTGGATCAGGCTGAAGTGAACTTTGCACCAGCCGATCCAGGTTGGGATGGAGAGGATTGCAGTACACAGATACAGGTAATAGTAATATTTCAAGCTGATTACCGATTATATATTCAATTACTTGATAAATTGGATGACCCAAAAATAGTTGGGAAAAAGTCTCACCGCTTTTCCTATGTGTGCTGTTGGATGGGAGGTGATAGGTGGGGCTTGGTGACATCGGCATTAGCCACGCCACTGGCCTTTGCTTGCAGGGCGTTTCCCGCCATCAGGTGGCAGAATGTGAGAGTGGCCATCGTTTATAAAGGGGCCCGAGAAATCGACGACTTTTCAGTTGATTAATTGAATCGACTTTTTTTCCCTATCTCTAGTGATCATGATAATAGTCAATGTATTGAGCAAAGTCTCAGCAAGTCTTGAGACCTCTTCAGGGAGGTCCTACATTGAGGATTTTTGGCCAATTCCATGAGCTTTTTTCATATTGGAGGAAACTAGCGTACCCAAAGTGAACCCATGCTTACGCGGGAATTACTCTGGTAATGCGTTAAATATATTGGTAAGCAACTTACTTTCTGGACTGCCATTTATTGGGCACTTCACGTTCCAGAAGTTTGATATCACAAGCTGATCTCAGCGTGATGCATTGGCATATAATAATGCATTGTTTCTTTTATCGATATTGATTCTTGTGCTCATGGTACATTGATCAGATCATACCTTTGAGAATGTTATGCAAATTTTATGCAAAGAGACTCAAATCTATTCAAGCTGAAGGAGTGAACATAGTACAAATAAGGAAAAAGAAATATAATTCAACAAGATGGTAAAAACCACGAAATTGTATTCCTATATTAAATCGAGATTGCAAATTGTAACAATTCATATCACTGAGTAATTCATTATTGCATGCCTAATCAGCCCACCATTATAATTTTATTGAAAGATCAGTACGATGTAGATGCTCACCCCGAGCCCTCATTACTTTGATAGTGCATTGTCTTTGAGCTGTACGCCTTTTGGCGTCCTCTGGTTGAGCACCAATTGAGACGAGGCTAAAAGAAAGCTGTCTTTGGTGTGGACCAATCAGTTTCAAGGACAATGCATATATTATCAGAGTGTGTTTTTTGTTTGCATTTTGACCTCAAGTATTGTGGTTAATGCAGACATGAATCCTTGTAAAAAGGTTTCAGTTTTGTTGCCATAAAAAAGGGGAAAAACCCTATTATTGTATTAGATCAGTATTTGTTTTACATTATTTAAGGGTCATGCAAACCAGTTACAACATATACGGATTGAAAAAAACGATTCTTGCGTGCATGATTCTGTGAATGCAGCATGCGCCTTAGAATCAATTGGAATTGATGAATTAATGCATCATTACATGTCTGTTCATTGATGAACACCTCGTAGACTGCTCTGCCTTGAAGAAAATCATAAAATAAATCTGGCCGATACTACACAGAAACATGTATTCCCTTCACGTGAGCCTCAATCACTCTTAGCACAACCGCAATAACTTCCCCTTTCACCCATGCAGACCACTAGGCCCCCATTTTACCACCGGTTGTAATACCTCATACTGGGCTACACCCAATGAAGTGCAAAACCAAATTGTTAACCACAGATCATGTTGGTGCCATCTATTACGATCAGGCCAAAGTGGCTATGCCCATTAACCTCCTTTGGCTGTTTGCAAAAATGAAAACACCCTTAATGGAATGTTTGCAATTTGTTATATATATTTTTTACAAACTTTGTTTCGAACATACCCCAGGCAGGTCATTGTGTTATATACATACCATGGGCACGAGAATAATAAAGTTTAGATGAAAAATGTGCACTGGACGGTATATAAGTTTGTTATTTTAAAGTGGTGTCCAATAAAGACACGGGTATTTGAGGTATCGTATGGTATTTTATGCAACGGGCAACTGAAGCCCTCACAATTCTAATATGCATGCATTATTCATTTGTGCTTCAGGAGCATCAGAGCAATCCCCAGCCGATAAGTACAGAGTCGTGTACCGAGAGTGTCTTTGAGGTCTGGGACACACCAGAGTGGTTTCCAGCAAGGTGAGATGGGATTTGATTTACACTGGGTAGACCACACTGCTGGGTCTACGCCTCAGCCAGGATAATTTGTAATTTGATGCAGCAAATCTGGCTGTGACGGTCCCACCTGATGACGGAGACTTGTGTTGCCTCCGAAACGTCGTGATTTTTATTATTTAATTTTAATTTCATTTTTTACCTACGTGACTTTACCGAAATAACTAAGAGTATGAATCCTTGCAGTCATGAAAGCTTCAAATCTAGAATATTGCGTTTGAGACATTAATATTGTTACTTGAAATGCAAACAACGTGATTGTATGTTTGTGTACCACACCTGTACAAGCAGTCAGAAACAGCATTGGCATGAGATCCAGAATCACGAGCAGGTGTTATCATCCAAGCAGTTCTCATTCAAACACCATCAGTTTGATGGTGTCGGTCTGGTTACCAATGACTTCACACGAAACAAAAAACACTGCGTCAAAAAATGCTTTTACACTTTGGCTAGATTTCAGCTCTGAGAATTAACAAATATAAATGTGACTGCCCTGCGACACGAGTCTTCTCTGTGTAGCAGGATGGATAAGAGAATCAATTTTGTCATAACTCCTTCCACTGACCGTTGCATAACATGGGATAATGCACTTTTCTGTGAGAGTTCAGAATGGATTCTTCATCTCACAATTTGATGCCACCCACAGCACAATCGGGATAAAATTGTGGAAAAAGACAACAAATTTGACTGTTTGTGACAGGTAGCACCTGTAAGTTGCCAAACTGGAATTCTCTGCTCTTGCCCAAATGCCCTTTTCCCAGTTGGCTTGAATGTGCCCAGGGACATGTGGTGAAAGGCAAAGCATAAAGTTTTTTTATTTGATTATACAAGTATGTCGGCCTTGAATTAGAGAATATATATATAAAATGGCAGGAAGGTATAAGTGTCTTTCAACAAAATGTTCAAATAAAATTCCACAGATTTGGAATAAAGGCATTCTAGGTTATGATATCCAAACAATATTACTGCAATGGGTCCCACACATTGCATCATATGCAAATGTGTTTATTTTCCCTTTTAATATGAAACACATTTGATACAAAAAAGTTACAATAAATGATTATCTTTTATTCATCTTTTATTGGTATTAACCCTTTGTATTTTTAAGGCCAAGAAAAATATTTTTGTTCAAACCAATAACACTTTTGTAAATGTGTTTTGTTATTTCAGATGCAGACAAACCATGAAGAATTGATTGAAATAAATTCGTGTTTTTTGGTAGGGAATAGGAAAAATATTGTATGGTTTAAATCGAGAGTTGTAAATGTGGCAAGGTTTTATTGGAAAGCATGAATGTTATTCATTTTACTAACACACGCATAAAATTGATGGTGTTTATTACTTGCCCACCATGTGTGTGACTTCACAAGGACTACGATGGCACACACAGGTGCAATATTTAACTGCAGAGCATTCCTCTGTTTTCAGGGCTTGTTTAGCCATGGAGAGCTGCTTTTGATCTCTCAGCACCTACCGCTTGGTATTTTGCTCTTCCACACAAAAAAGGTCATACCATTTGTAAGCATTAGCCTTCACCTAAAGCCTCTTCTCGACAGCCAGATGATGGGATAAGTTGTCTCCTTCTGATGTTTGACCTCTGTAACAGCAGCACCCAGTCATATAATTGTTGCTATGTCATTAAGAATAGAACAAATGTACGCACAATACCATTTTTAGGCATGATTCTAATACATGCATGTATGTGGTTTTCCAAATTTGCTAATGATGGTATGGTTTGTGTCTTACTATCATGGATGCTGGATGCATGGGTTTCAATGAGTGAGTTGAAACAAAAAAATTTAAGATTTGCATTCGCTGTGGTGCCTTATAACAGAAAACCGAAAACAATTCCATTCTGGCGTAAGAGATGAATGTCAACGTCGAGGTCTGCTGGCCATGGGAGGGTTTTAGGGGAGTGTTTGTGCAGTTTTGCCATTGAAGGAGGCAGAGGTTGCAGTGGCTCACGATGATCCATAGTTTGGGTTGCATGGCCACTTTTGTGCTGTGGCTTGTCTTTAATTTTACATTCATGAAGGAGGTGTGTGCATCGGTTTGTTGATGTTCTGATGCGGTTGATGGTTACACCAAGGTCTTGAAGGAATGGCAAAGCCAGCAGGTGCGATGTTTGGGTCTCGAAATTATGTGTTTATTCTGGACGTCCGCATTCTCCCGTATCTGGGTGAGATTCTAGGATGGTGGCAACACGATCCCAGAAGGAGGATCGGGACTTGAGTCTTCAGCAAGGTATATTGCTGAAGCCTTGGTTGGTGAGTAGGTTGTCATTGGCAGGAAAACATATACATTCCCCCTTGCAGTATGCATCTCAGCGGATATTTGGTGGCAAAATGTTCACCAGAACAGGGAGTCAGGATATTTATTTTGGTTTCGGTGTTGCGGTTATTATGCACATTGTGTTATATAATTCTGCATCTAGCAGTGTTATGTATGAGCTCCCAGACCAGACGAGAGCACAATGTACTACCACTGAGTGGATCAGTGATAGAGAACGGTAGTGTGCAGCACATGAGCTGAGGCGCTCCAGGTCGTTCCTGCATTATTTCTGTAGCAGATCTGTTTTATACTCTTTGGTTCTTTCGGTAAAGTCACGTAAATGAAAAATAAAAATAATAAAAATGAAAATAACTAAATTAAATCACGTAATTTTGCTGTTGCTGTTCCACCTGATGACGGAAGCTTGTGTTGCCTCCGAAACGTCGTGATTTAATTTAGTTATTTTCATTTTATTATTTTTATAATTTTTCATCTACGTGACTTTACCGAAAGAACCAAAGAGTATGGATCCTCGCAGTCACGAAAACTTCAAATCTAGAATTAATTTATTTGGGGCTTAAAGGTCATACTTCTGTCCATGATAATCCATAGATATCTTGGGAGTGGGGTCACAGTGCCCTGGGCTACCACAGGAGGACAGATCAAGAGTGATATCTGCTGCATGATTGTTCAGGTTATTGAAATACAGTGATACCTCGGTTCACGAACTTAATTCGTGAATTGACTCTGGTCGCGAACCGAATTGGTCGTGAACCGAGGCACATTTTCCCATAGGGTTCAATGTAAATCCGGTTAATCCGTTCTGACCTTTTTTTTTGGTTTTTGAAGCACAAAAATATGAAACAAATTACAATACACATTAGTACTGTACAGTATAGTAATGTATAAAGAGAGAACACTAACATTGCTTGAGATGACTTCAGTAAGCACTCAAACGGGTGAACTGTACAATACAGTAAGTACAGTATTGTACAGTACAGGAGTACAGTACTGTATGTGCTAAAAAGCACACCAAAAAGCAAAAAGTCACTGAAAGTGTCTTCACAGTACTCACAGTACTTCTTTCTGTGTCTCTTCTTCTCTCCACGATCTTCCTACAGGAAGTCACGACCATGTGACAGCCTGGAAATAGCATTAAAATGGCCGCGGCTCCTGTTCGTGAACCGAAGCGGAGTTCGTGAACCGGAGCATATTTTTATGAACTTTTCTGTCCGTGAACAGAAGCGTTCGTGAACCGAGGTATCACTGTAATTTGGTCAGAGTCACCAGCGACGGAAATCTGCCTCCAATAAAGTTAGGTCAGCTGTCAAGAGTATCAGCAATAATCTCGAGGTTTGTTCCCTATGCACCAAGGTCCAAGTCCTCTACATATATGAACTTGCAAGATGACGTACAGGGAAGATCACTTATATGATAAATAGTGATGGCAAGAGGAACGATCTTTGAGGAAGGCCATTCAGTATTCCACTACAGCTGTTTTTTACCAGTGAGGTGTCCCCTAAAAGTACGGTTGCTGAGCATCCCATCTATTCGTTGAACGCCATATCATGAATTTGGCCAACTTCATCAGCAGGCCATGATGCCAAACAGTGTCATAGGCAGCAGAGAGGTCAACTGTTGCTGTGCTAGTTTTCTGTTGATGCTGGAAACCGGCTTCCATTAGGGCGGTGAAGGCAATGATCCGTGGACACCAGCAGCTATGGCCAGTTCGAAATCCGGCTTGTTTGGGAGGCAATGGTACAGGCTGATGTTTCGGGGCAATGCTCCAACGCAGTGAAACTGACTGAAACAGCCTATTTGTGTTTTGTTACTAGGAAGTATTAACCGTGAATGTGGTGGTGGTTATTGTTTGTACTTAATGAGTTGGCATTATCCTTTAGATTATGATAAAAGAGCACGCAGAACCAAGCAAGTATGTTTGGTTTTTTGCCACTTCCGATCGTGTTGGGCAGCGCAGGCACATGCTGGTAAAAGTGATTGCCTCTCCTATCTTGTAATTGTTGAATATAAAAATTGTGAATTGTATCTGGAGAATGTGAAACATTAGCAGGATGTTATTTTCAAACCTCTGCCACTATGTGGCTACGTTACTCATGGTAAGTGAGTAATCTGCTTTAGTGGCCCAACATTACATGTTAACCGTTCGTATGGAAATCAGCTATGAGCTTGTCAAAGTTACAGATGAACGGCTACGATCACAATGGCTAGAACCGGACTGCTCGTGTAGGTGTACCACTGCAGGTTACGCTGCTATTGCTGCAACGGAACATGCTTTGGAATGGGAAAATCCAGCTTTCCCAAAATAATATTATATGCTACATGATGCCATACACATGTGTGGTTGCTGATTGACCTATCAAGGTCAGTTACTCTAGTTGAATGAATGTACAAATTCTACTTGAACGTATTTTGTTTCTGTGCCAAATAAATGTTTATACTCTCACGCTTTTGTGTGTAACAGTTATGTAAGCACTAATTTGGCAATTGTTTTCACTGAATGTGCTGCTGAAACTTGCTTTAGAAAAAAGTTTTGCTGGCTGGCTGGCACACAACCGGGCAAGTGCACATGTTACAGCGCACGTCTGCGCGTTGATGTCACCCGCATCCCGCAGCGTTGAACCGGGTTCATGCGCGCTGAAGTCACGCCTCCCCCCACCCACCCTCCACTTCATATTATATTAGAAAAAAGTTTTGCTGGCTGGCTGCCTGCCTGGCTGGCCACGTGCCGCCCTGCGCGCGTTCTTATTGGCCGCAGGCCATGCGCCACCCAGCATGCAGAGGGGAGGGAGTGTGGGGACGCGGGGGGCCGGGAGCAGGGGTGGTTGGTGCGTGTGGGTGCCCAGAAGGGAGGGGGGGGGCACGCGGGGAGATTTGGGGGGTTTATGGGGAGGGAGGGCAACACATGGATTACAGAATGTGCACAAATTAAAGACATCAACTTAGAAAATAAAAGTGGGCTTGGTCAGGTCACGATGCTCGAAGGGATCGTGGTCGGTGGTCAAGATTAACGGCTGAGTAGCTCTCCAGGACATCCTGACTGAGCGTCAAAACCATTCAGGAAGGACTAATTTTGGAAGATTATTGAAGAAGGGCAATTGCCCAAAATGTCACCTATTATATACTTATTCCTGTAAGGCGTTGTTATTGCCAACACAGTATCGCCAAATAATGTTTGATTTGGAAAGGTTACTGATTGTTGAAATAATATTACAATGATGTTTTTCGGTCTCAAAGGAAATTTGATTTGTCAGAACGACTTTCTGCCCAAACGAGTGGGGTTGCGTACATCTTTATGGGTGGGCTTGAGCCAGGGGTGGAAATTCCACATTCCTTTGGCAGTTAATCAGTCTAAAGGGGTAAATAAACTGATTTTACTCCACAGTAAATGGTACTCACTTCATCGACTGATGGATAATAAGCTGAGTCAACCTGTAGCCAGGATTGGAACTTGCAATTCTTGACACAAGTTGAACATTCGGCCACAGTGCCATTCAGTCAGATTTAACACCCCAATTGCGCAAAGGGGAGAAATAGCAGTTCACCCTTGGTGTCTGCTTAATGGCACAATCGTCAGTCTTTGGTTGTATGCATTGTATGTGTGTTGAACTTTCGCACCGTACGTAGCCAACCATGCTAATTGGAAGTGTGGGGGTAAGGACAAAAAACTAAACACAAAAAGCAGTTCTAAGGAAACTTGTTGAAGGAGTGTATGGGAAATCGAGGTTGTTTTTGTGCAGGACCAGTGAATTCCTGGGGACAGCCAGAGTTCATGGTTATCGTCAATCTCAATCTTATAGTTTTATCTGAGTAAATGGAACCAGCTTCATTCATAACATAAAGAGAAGATTCCTGTCATTGAAAAAAAGGGTTTGGCGTATCATAGATCAATGGACTTCCTTTCCAGTCCTCCAAAGAAAACAATAATGAAGTATTGGGGTATGTTTTAATTTAACATTTTGGAATGCCTTTAAGAAGCTTACAAAAACATCAGATTTTTGATCTTTGGATATGACATATAATGTGTCCAATAAAAAATGTCCATTCTTTACATTTTTGGCAGTGTTGAACGATGATCAACCTCGTAAAAACCCGTGCATTGTTAACAAAACATAACCTTTGCGGAGGAAAACCCCGGGCCACATAAGTTAAAATTATCACCCAAAACCATGTTTTGCACATTTGCAATGCTCCAACATTAAAGGCACATGAAAATATTCTCGCAAGTTAGGATTTCCACGTGAAATGTATTGCATATATTTAAGCAGTCAAGTATATGGAAACATGGATATATACATGTTTTGTCGATATTACATACACCTTTATCTCTTTGTGATTTCTGATTATTTCCAGTCACTGTAAACACTTGCAAGATGCAACAAATGTATATCTGCTTGCTTCACTTTTACACAACATTACCTTATCCAGGAAAGCTGCACTTGAGTTGTACGACTCTTTTTCAGGAGGGGGCCTGCATTGCGTTTTTATTTGAAGATGTCATCAGCCAATTAATGAGTGTCTATACACATCACAGGAAACCGGAGCGCCTGGAAATAAAACCACGCGTGCGAGGGGGCAACACTCTATCCCCACACAGATTAAAGCAGATGGCAATTAGTCCACTTTACTGCCTTCTCCTGGCGAGCCAGGGTATGGCACCTCGACGCCCACGGGTAGCGAGTTTTACAACATTTGTGGCGATTGAACAACCCTCGCTGCCTCCACAGTGTTGGATTACAGGCCAGGTGCATAGCCACCACCGCCCGGCTTTAAAGTCGCACGTTTTGAGAATGTGCGATCTGACATGTGCCTCTGACTGGCAATAATTGTATCTGCAAGGCTCCTTGGACAATATTTCCAACTAGTTGGGAGCCACTTGAGAGTCGTGGTAATAAATTAGAGCTGTCTCCTCGCTGGCTGCCTCCCGTGTGTTTCCTCAACGCACACCCTCTCCAATGACGCATGCCTACTATACATTGCATGATTTTGAAACTGGGGTCATGTCAAACGACAGCAGACACGCAGGACTGGGGCCGATATGCTGAATTACCTGAATTATTAAATTTAAGGTAAAACATTTTACAGGTAGATTTTAACCTTGTTCTAACAAACCACATAGCATCAGCTTTCAAATGAAACCTAATTCTCAGAAATTAGTGGAGGAGTGTAGGAGGAGTTTTCTGGACAAACATGTACTTACAGATTAACTGTATTGTGTACATTATATTTTTCATTTTGCGGGTATGTTTCGTTTCTAATTATGAGTTTGGTAATTTTTTTTGTAGGTGAACGTGAGTTTAAGTTGCTTTGCTTCCAAAGTGTTGTCTAATACAAGACCGTAATTATAATATATATTGGGGGACACATCCCCTCCCCCCCAATATTCAAAAATGCTCAAAATGTCCCCTCGAATATATTGCTATAAAATAGATTTCTGTTTATATGATTGTGGTTATGGTTGTACTTTATTAATCTCTGCAATTACATACAATGAAACAAGAAAAGGTAAAAAAACAGCAATGTAATACAATACACTATTAGACATTGTAAAATATAAATAAAAAGTCCATCCTATGTGTTAGTGAATTTTTTAATATTTTAGGCAGGTAATGGCAGGAAATTCGTTTTCAAATTTAGATATTTTTTGGGGGGGGGTGGGGGACCCCCAGACCCCCTGGAAGATTTGGTCCCCCCCCAATGTTGACTCCATGGCTACGGCCTTGGTCTAATATCTCGGATATTTCTTTGACTGAAATCGGTTATTGATAAACATCAATTTTTCTGGCATCATGGTATCTCGACATTTATTTATGATAACCAACTGCATAATGCATGTGTCAAAATGTATTTAAATAATGCCTTTGTTAATTATTAAAAAGGTTTTACCTCTTGTTTTCATTCACTTTTAGAAGTAATAAAGTATGGTATAATGTGTAAAAAGCTATTGGGTCTCTCGTGACCACTGTATATTCGTGATTATGTTTTCCCTTTAACTTATGTGAATGGGCTGACAACAATATACTTAAATTATTTTTCTTCACGTGACGTCAACACATTTCTCTCTCCTAACGGTGTTGTTATTGCCAACACTAAAAACAAAGGTATTTGTCTTTGTTGTGGAAAACACAGACAGGTCGAGTTGGCTGCGCTTCATGTCGGCGAATCCCTTCGATAATTTTTTCGGCACGCTCGGTGTTTCTGTTCGTAAAAAATAAAAAAAAAGCTCCCCGTTTCGTTTGGCATGCTGGCTCTGGGCACCTGTAGCGGTGTACAGCTGAGTTCTGGCAAGACCCGCAGACTGCCTGCGGGCAGGGCACATTCATGAAATGGTGTCCAGGGAAAGTTAATACCTCTCATCCGGACCAAAAGAGAGCATATATAACCTGGCGCCGATGCCCAAGCAAAGCTTCGCTCCTGTAGCAGAACCTGAGCGTGCGCGGTACACATCTGAACGCAGCGAGCCCGTGTCCACGACGCCGATCTGTCCGACGGTGCAGCCTCACAGCCTCTTGGCGGCATCGGCGGCGGCACACCTCTTTAACGTGATCGTCGGGACTCGGATGGGCTTTTGAGCAGTCGCGATGATTCCGTTGGGGCTGTGCGCCTCTCTGCTCTTGAGCCGCGTCGATGGGAAGGCGACGCGCGCACCCAGCCGGGCTGCTGCTGGTGCTGATGGCAAGTGGCTCGGGGTGCTGCTGCTGCTGTTGATGGCGCTGTGCGGTGGAAACGGGGCCAGCATCTTGCCCTATAAATTTGCCCACGCCGGCGTCTGCCCCAACGATCTCAACCCGAACCTGTGGGTGGATGCGCAGAGCACCTGCAACAGGGAGTGCAACGGAGACCAGGTGAACAGCTACGACACTTAATACGAGATCAGACTCCTCTAAAAAAAAAGTGATCTTCAATACCAAACAAATATGACTTAAAAGTGTTTCATTTAAATAATGCGCGTACTTTTTCATTTCATGTCGTCCTGATTTCAAATGTTTTTATTTTTTGACGTCGGAAATGTTTGGATAACAATCACCACACGTGTTGATTTGTAGTGAAATTTACAAACGACTCAGTTTGCAAGAGGCTTTACCGCCTTGATTCGCGCACAGTTATTTTGCCGCTACTGCTGAATTACGGGGGTGGAATGTGCAACCTGTGAGCTGTCCACGGTAACAAGGGGTGTGACAGGGTTGCACACAGGTTTTGATTTATGAGCAAGCAAAGAAAGAATCTCAAGACTCTAAACCAGTAACACGGAGTTTCAGCCTGGGCAGCATGTGGATAAAATGCATGTGGCTAAAACAGTATAGTTCGTGTGTGTTTTCCATGATATGCATACTGCCCTCAGTATGCGCTATACAAAGACAAACATCCCCTGTTTAGCCTTTAACAGAACTGTTGGGGTTAGCGCTGTTAGCGAGGAGCACCTATGAAGGCCGGCACAGCACACGAAGTTGTGGGTGGCCAGCACCATGCCCGGCCGCCTTTGTCTCCATAGTGGCGATGTTTACACACCGCACCAGGTACTCATTTGAGGCCGAGTCGACCTAGGGGAGGCCCAGCACCGGTTCATAAATTCGTCACTGGTGTTGGCCATGAGCGGAAATCGAACTCGGGTTCCTGGGTTCATAGTGTCAGCGTGCAAACTGTTAAGCTATCACTCCCCCTAACTTTATACACACACACACTACATTAAATAAGTATAGAATGTAGTTTACATTTTAGTGCTATGGATAGATTGAACCCCACCATAAGAATATGGAATCTCCACCGCTAATTCAGGGCCACCAACAGCAGGAAGCCAATTTGACTTGAAACGTAGTATGATAAGTTATAAACACTACGTAGAATCCACGTTAAGGTTAAGGATTTGCATTTATTTAGCTCAGAAATACCACAGCACAAACGAAAATAAATATGTACAAAATCACATTTGGAAATAATGGTGAGGGGAAACAAACAAGAACAATAAAAACGGGGAGACATAAAAAAACAAGCTAAGGAGATCACACACACAGAGACGGTTGAACAACAACAACAACCTTAGCAAGGGAAAGAAAATAGTTGTTCGCTCGTTTTATTGTTCAACTCTTGCAAACGTACTTCGTTTTCTAACCACGTCTGGCCGGTCCACTTTCGCAGGACTGCATGGCCCTGGAGAAATGCTGCGACAACGTGTGCGGCCTCAAGAGCTGCGTGACGGCGCGCTTCCCCGAGGGCGAGCCCATCATCCAGGACGATCTGGCCTCGTGCTACTCATTCCAGTGCCCCCAGCAGGGCGCCGAGTGCGACGTGTGGGAGGGCAAGCCCACGTGCAAGTGCAAGGACCGCTGCGAGAAGGAGCCCAACTTCACCTGCGCCTCGGACGGCCTCACCTACTACAACAAGTGCTACATGGACGCCGAGGCGTGCGTCAAGGGCGTCACGCTCACCGTCGTGCCGTGCAAGTACTACACCATGGGGCCCAAGACGAGCCCGAGGCCCAACGAGACCGCCGTCACGCCGGCGACGCTCAACGCTCCCACCACGTACGTGACCCCTATCCGGCCGGCCCTGGTCGCCAAGCCGGCGCAGCAGTCCGTGTACCTGGGCGGCACTGTGAGCTTCCACTGCGACGTGAGCGGGCAGCCCAAGCCGGACATCACCTGGGAGAAGCAGGGCGAGGGCGAAAAGAACATGATCATGAGACCCGACCACATGTACGGCAACATGGTGGTGACCAACATCGGCGAGCTGGTCATCTACAATGTGAAGCCTCCCAACGCCGGCATCTACACCTGCACGGCGCGCAATACAGCGGGGCTGTTGAGGGCCAACTTCCCGCTGTCCATCATGCGCAACCCGCACACCTTCAGCAAAGACATGGAGGAGTTCCCCATCGAAGAGTGCCTCAAGATGCCGGACCGCGAAGACTGTGGCGGCAAGACCCAGACGGTGTGGTACTTCGACGTGAAGAGGAACGGTTGCTTCACGTTCTCGCACAGCCAATGCAACAACAGCCTCAACCGCTTCATCACCTACGAGGAGTGCAAGATGGCGTGCATGACCAACATCAACAACACATGCTCGCTGCCCGTGCAGCAGGGACCCTGCAAGCACTGGGCGCTACGCTGGGCCTACAACCCGCTCATCAAGCGCTGCCAGTCCTTCATCTACGGCGGCTGCGAAGGCAATGAGAACAACTTTAAAAGCCAGGAGGTGTGCGAGGATAACTGTCCTTTTCCGCACGGCCGCCAGTGCAGGGCTTGCAAGTCGCGAAACAAGATCGCGCGCAGTTTCTGCCTTTCCGATTTTGCTATCCTGGGCCGCATGGCTGAACTGACGGAGGACGGCACCTCGGGGGTGGCGAGGATCATCGTGGACGAAGTGCTGAAGGACGAGAAGATGGGCCTCAAGGTGTTCAACACGAAGCACCTGGAGGTGACGCTGCTGCACATCAACTGGGAGTGCCCCTGCCCAAACGTGACGGTGTCGGAGGAGCGCCTGCTCATCATGGGCCAAGTGTACGAGGGCATGGCCGTGCTGTACCCAGACAGCTTCGTGCAGGCAGCCATCGAGAGACGCACGAAGAAGATTTACGAAATGATTTCAAAGAATGCGTGCGACAATTTGCAGCGCGTCGTCGATTAGTTTCCATTCACTATTTGTTTTTTGATCTCAGTTTGGTGGGAGGTTAAACTCAACCTACGTTCAACATTAGAGGACACTTTAAAATCATAAGCCAGGGAGGGGGGAACCCGTGCCTCACCAGCTGCATATGGCCCATTATTTAATATCATTTGGCCCATGGCCGCTTCGGGACGGCCCACAAACGATACTGATCCATCACTTGTATACATCTAAGTCGCACTAATCGGATACTGGAGGGGAAATTTGTCAACCTGACAACATTTTTTGCTTTAACTTTAGCACGATTTGTGAGGGCCTCTTGATTTTCGATCAATAGAAAAAGGTTTCCCATTCCACAATCCACCAGGTTTTGTATTAGCACACACCAGAGGGTGCTCTGAAAGTTTTACGTCAATTAAATTGGCCTGCAGAGTTAAGCCAATGATTTTAGTACGAGGAGGGTAACATATGCGCACATTGAATGACCACACAGGGTGAAGTTGCTGGCGCTTTAATACAGTGCTAACTCATTGTGAAGAAGTAGATTTTTTTTGAGTAGGTGAAACATTTAACAAGTCTTTGAGTGAAATATTTAAAGTTTAAGTGGCTCATCGGACATGGGCCGTGGAGCCATTAATGTAACCAATGGGCTGCTATTTTTTAATTTTAATTGAATGCATAATTTACACATTTGAATGATGAAAATAGAACAGAGGTGTGAAGTTCAAACACTAAATAGATACCCATTGAAAGACATCAAGTCTGCATTAACCACACATACTTGTGGTAAAAACAAAAAATGCAAACAAATATGCTTTAATGATATATGCACTGTCCTTGAAACTGATTGGCCTCACCAGAGACAACGTCTTTCATGGCTTTGTCTCACGAGGGCGACAGACCAAAGGCTGTCAAAAGGCAAACAGTACAAGGACAATGCAAACACCAAAGTATTAATAGCTCGGGTGAAGCAGTTATATCTACGGGACCCTATAATATTAAATGATTTTAAAAATACCTTGTTTTATAATTCATTATCTTGATACTGCCAAAAGGGTCCCATCGATATTATTTACACCTATTTAAGCACAGCTTTGATACGTTACATGATTAGCATTAAGTAACTTTATATGGTTTATCATTAGTAGTGTGATATTGTAGCAGTACAAATTAAAGCATATGATTGTAGCAGTATGTAGTATGCATTAACTGCAGTAAGACTGTTTTTCTTGTATTTAAGACTCATGTTTCTGTTTCCCCCCGATATTAACTTAAGATATTGTTTTGCATCGTGCCACTAAATATCAAAGTACCGTTACATTCCTACACCTCTTACAGAATTATCGCCATATCTGTAACTTTGCCATCATCGAACAAATGAAAGTATTACGGATTTGACATATTCTTTACAAGCGGTGAAGTAACAACACGAGTCCTATATTCAATTACTGTACAATGAAAACATCAAAACTATAAAATAACGATTGTACCGCACGTGTTGGCTACCATGATGTACGACGTTCACTTCCTGAAGCTCTCGGATCGTAAGGCTGAAAGCTTCATAACAAAGGTTTTTTGTGGATTCGATCGCATAAATAAAAGTGTGTCGTGAAACCTGCCACTACCGACAGAGCTAGTTAGTTAGGGGTTGTCACGTAAACGAAAGTTGCCAGTTAGTTGCTACTTCACAACACCGGTGTGTTGGAAAGTAAATCAACAACATTTACAATTGACCTACCGTGACGTTTTGTACTCTGTACCCCATAACGGCGAAAATCTACGCAGCAGCATAAAACTAGGAAGTAATTTGTAGGGAACTATTTGTGTATTTCATGTTTTGCTTTAATGCCACACATATAAAACAAGACCTATTCACTACCATATTTTGTTCTAGAGTACGTATTCACACTCGTATTTAAACATTTAATGAGGATAACAACCATTTTATTCATAATACACTTTTTGGGTTTAGATCGCGTTATTTATAAATGTGTCGTAACCCTCCACCACCCGACACGGCCAAACAGTAAAACATGTGTCACGTTTACTAAAGATAAATAGTTCACTACATCATTCTAGATTTTTTTATTTTATTTTTTCACCTACGTGACTTTACCGAAAGTACCAAAGAGTATGATTTAACATCATTTACAATTTTTGAGTACAACGTTTCGCTGGTAATTACCAGCGTCATCATTTACCATTTTTGAGTACAACGTTTCGCTGGTAATTACCAGCGAAACGTCGTACTAACAAAAATTGTTAATGATGTTAAACCACTCTTCAACACACCAGTTGGCTAAAGTAGTGAACTATTTGTCTTTTGTTAACGTGACACATTTTTGCTGATTGGCCGGGTGGAGGGTTACGACACATTTGTAAATAACGCGATCTAACCCAAAAAAGTTTATTATGAATAATATTGGTCGCGAAAGCCTACGTGTTAAAGGAACCATTTTATTGATGATCCATATATTGTATGTTGTGTTTTGTACAGTAGATTCTTTTTTACATGCATTATTGAAATGAACAACAATAAAGTGTGTCATTTTTACATATATATTCTGAATGATTGTTCTTTAATAAAAAAAAAAAGTGTAAGCTTACACTCGACCTTGGCATTTCAGCACAGGTGTCTGATACGGATGCTCGGATTTCGTGGCAGGACGGGAAAAGCATGGCGGAAGTCTGTAAAAAAAAACAGAACAAGGCAGATAAGCGTTGCCAATGCGATTCAGAAAAAAGGTTGCTCTGGATAGGACATGCGTGCAGGGATGAATGAGGGTTGGTTACCGAGACGGGCATCCGGAGTGGTCCCCCACGAGTCTGGCAACCAAAGGAGGAGGCTTTTAAGGGCAGATGGTGGGACACTGTCGGGCTAGATCGTGGAGCTCGTGTGACCACTGGACAGCAGTTGTAGGATCTTGTGGAAGTTGGAAGGCATTGGATAGGTGCGGTGGCGTCAACAGCCTTGCCCATGATGACATCTTGATCTTGAATTGAAAAAGAATGACGGATCAATTTGCATTGAAACGGTATCGCTGAACACGACCAAATTATTGCGTTCAGATTGAATTTCATACAAACACTGTGATTATGAGTTATGGTTATTAAACACGCACTTCATGAAACATATAGGTTACCACTGAAAAAAAACATTTTATTTTTATTCCTTAATTTACATGAATACTTTAAACTTTAAACGTCACTCAAAATTGACTGGCAGTCGAAGCAACATTGCTTGGCTATTAGTTCACTGTCACTTCAAGTCAGTGTGAAAAGCTTCGTTTTTGGAGGGCATAAAACGGCCACCTTTTACACATTGGTTTTGCCCGATGACCCTGATAGCCGGCATCTGCATATTTGACACGCTTAGCCCATTATAGTCACAACCGTATCTCTTGTGTACGGTGGTTTGTTCCTATTATTACATTATTTCAGTCACATTTTTGTTTCAGTTTTTTAAATTACACATCACAAGGGAGCGTTTATATTGACTGAAACATCGTTACATTTCCACAACCGTTGTACACTCACTAGCATACCATACTAGTTATTATCTGCAATGCGCGTCAGGTGTGTTTATAGGTGCATTCAAATGTATCGGAATTAATGAAGCTTTGATCGCAATTTACATGAATAACGTTTGACATTTCACATAAAAAGCATTTAATTTTTAAAAAGCGTACAGTAGTACATCATCTAAACAAATGTAATGCAGTACCATGGGACCTCCTTTGCCAGTTTTGTTACCAAAAAAAGGGGGGAAACCAATTCTCATATAATGCAGTAGTTTTGAAGGTGGCACAAATTCATATTGCGATAAACAGTAAAGGAATTGTTTCGCAAAGGAATGATATTTACATTATTTCCCAGTGTCAAGTTACTTGAAATACAAATTTCCACCCATATATTTCCCATTCATTTATCACGAATTAACATTTAAAAATGAAAAGTACCGCTGCAGAGGTTTTTCGCACTCATTACACACAAAGTGCTCGCCACAAAATGCACCACAATAGCTCGGTGATCTCGTCAAGGAGCATAAACCTAACTATGGTCATCCTCGCAGCAGCGGCTTTTGACTTTGCTTCGAACAGAGACGGTCACCGCATCGTGCGCTTCCATATGCGCTTCTGCGACCGTCTGGGATGCTCTTCATTCCGATATTAGGAAGCCACTGGAGCTTTGAACTTTTAATTCTAGATTGAAAACTCATTTATTTTGAACTGCTTTTTTGTGTTTAGTTTATTGTCCTTTCGCCGCACGTTCGATTATCACGGTTGGCTACTTAACGTTACGAAAAAAACTTCAACATATATACACATACATGATCGCGCTCCTTAGCTCTCTAATGTGTTTGTGGGTTGTGGCACGTGCGCATAGCCTGGCACAAGCGCCGCGGTGACGTCACCGCCACTTAGTGGCGAATGGCGGTTGTTGTTGTTTGTTTGGCACGATGTTGATCGTTTTGCTCCACATGCTGCACTAAAGGAGCTCCCAGGACATGGAGTGAAGCGACGGACATCAGAGCAAAACAACACGCGGTACGACTTGAAAACACATTCGGAGAGCTGTGAATGATTTGTGACAAAAAAAATAAACTCACCTAGTATAACACACACCAGATGAGATTAGTTGTAAAGATGACATTTTCTCAGCCACATTTTGCTTACACAACTCATCGAAATTCCAGTGAATCCTAATGGAATGTCTCTTAACTCCGAGTTATATCCCCCCATAATCCACCAATGTCACTGTAACCTGATGAAATCTCACATAAGCTGAAAATTTGATGCAATAGAAGGAATCCCACATGATCCATACAAAGTCAGTTGAGACTAAGTCATCTTCCTTCGGATTTAAAAAATTCTCATTTCAAGTGTGGCCTTGAAACAAATGATACTGCGCTCATCTTTTTCAAATTACTTTTGGTCAAATACCAAAAAGAAAAACTTGTGTGCGATAAATTTGTCCAAAAAAATACTGACATATTTTCAGGCAATTTGAAACGACTTGAAATTACATCTGTCTTTGTAAAAACAAATGTGGCGGGTATTTTTGTTCCACACACAATGATAATACAGCGTAAGAAGTAGAAGGATGAAGTGTTCTTTAAAACAGGAAGGAAATTGTTCTGTTGGTGGCCTTTTCCACCCACGTGTCGCGTTTAATTTCACTAAATAAAATAATTCCTACGGGGTTCAGCCACAATTCAGGTGCAATTCACTGACCAAGAAGAACATCAAACTGAACTTTTATATACATTCTTGAAATTATTAGAATTTCTTTTGGCCTTGGGATTGTTTTGAGCCCCATTCACATCACAGGCACTGCGCTCTTTGATATTAACACCCACCGAGACACATCAGAGCGTTTCAGAGATTTCAGGCTGCCGCCTCGTAGATGTTGACGATACATTTTCCGTCTCCGAAGGCTTAAGAGGGGATTTCGTGTCTCCGGTGACTGACAGGAGGCTAAAAAGCACGGCCACTCTTTAAATATTAACGAATGTTTGTGCAGAACTTTAGCGGGAGAGAAACCGCTAACGTCCTTCAATGGTCGGAATTTAATGTTGTTGCTTGGTAGCCTAAGATCTAGCGGTGCAAAGAGCAACGTTTTGAAATGTACTGCACCAAGCGTATATATTCTTGGTTCTTTCGGTAAAGTCAAGTAGAAGGGAAATAATGAAAAAAATTCTCACGAGAATTATTGTTTCATATTTATATTATTTTATTATTTCCCTTCTACGTGACTTTACCGAAAGAACCAAGAATATGAAAATCCCTGCAGTCACGAAAGCTTTAAATAAAATTCAAGCTTATATACTTGTAATGATAGACCACGACGTTTCGATCGCCACACAAGCGATCGTCCTCAGGAGGGTTCGCTCGTGCGGCGATCGGAACGTCCGGATCCATTAGTATTTTTCGCCGTGATTTTACCGAAAGAACCAAAGAGTATTGATTCCTGCAGTAACGAAAGCTTCAAATCAAGATTATATACTCGTGTTACGCACATGTGTGCAATAACTAATGCACAGGTTTGTTTTTCACCAAGTTCTAGGCCTGCTTCACATGCACAACCCATTGTCAATCCAACGTTGGATGAAGACCTTCCATGCCTCCATGTCAATTGACGGGAGATTTTGTTGGACCATAACTTCACCACCTTGGTCAATTGCGGGTTGGATGAGAGGACCGATTCAAATGTCACTCGCCACTGATGTTAGTCGGGAATGGAACTCACGTGTCGCTGGATTTGCAAGCGCAGTGAATAAACCCAATGCACAGCCGATCCACTCGTTAAAATATTAATGTATGCCATTAAACTTGTTTCAAGTATCATTCTTATACAATTACTATGTGCTACGTAACACTGAAATTGTCACAGGTACTATTGGAACCGTGCTGAGAATTTCCCAAACACTGTTAACATTTACCACAATATTTTTTTACGCAATAAACACTCAATAACGTGACTTTGCATGCATAATATTTAAGTTAACGGTAACTTTCATAGGTAGTGTAACATTTGTTATTTGTAGTGTGTTTCTCAATGCACTAAGCACACATCATACCGATTATAGCCAGTAACACAGAGTATACATTTATATTTCTAACCAAGGAAGAACCCATTGAGAATACAAAGCTCGTTTTCAAGAGCTGGGTAACAAAAGCAAAATAATGATAACGCGGGTACAGAAGAAAACGGTACTGGACATTGCAAAATGCTAATAATGTGAAATGCTATAAAGGTTAAATTACTCCAGATGTTGCATCAGATAAAACATTTTCTGAAGTGAAATACTAACACCACTTAATCAACGACGATAAAGACAATGAGGGAAAAGGCAACAATCAAAAGCGCGTCTCTTCAGATAGTCCCCGCGATTAACCCGACTGAGGGGGAATCATCGGTGCCACGATGGCGCCTGATATGCAGGAGCACGTGGGTTCGATCGCGACCCTGACGCCAGCTGTATATTTGGAGTTTGCGTGTCTCTCTCCCCGTAGTCGCGTGGATTTTTCTACGGGTCCTCCGGTTTTCCCCTCCACATTTCGAATCATGCGTGGAGAAAATTCGACTGCGAGAAATGTTCAAAGGATAAGCTGCAACGTTGAGCTATCATTTGTGGGTAGGTCGTTTCTGAAAAAGAGCTATATAGTTTAGTGGGTCTTACTTGGTAAGATAAAAAATAGTTTAGTTTAGTCGCGAATGATTAAACGAGTCGTAGAATAACACTTATCTCTCTTGGAAACCCTTACCCACGTGTTTGAAATTCCACAGTCCAACGGCACATTCTCTATAGAGGATAAATTAGCATATATATATGTGGCGATGACCCGATATCTTATCCGCAGCGTGGGATCATGGGGTGGCCTAAAATAAGTGCACCTACACACACACACAGCTTGCCGATGACCAAATGACGTGAAATGTGCCCGAGCTGATCATCTCGCGGAAGCCAAGCTGGGGTCGAGTCCGCTGGATAAGTGTTGTGAGGGTCGACTGCCATTCATTAAACAGCCGTCGAAGG